TTTGTCGGATAATTTGCAGAAATTCACTTCGAAATTCGATCAAGTAAAATTCAGACTGAAATTCGATGTAACTTGCGACTGATTGACAAGCATTGCTATGTTTACTTACATGTTAATGCATTTTTAGTATTACTGCATTCCTTAACCTCGCCCTTAATATGACAGCCATTTCTATTTTCTAGACACGCACCTCGCAAGGAAGCTTTATTGACTATATACTAAAACAAATTATTTTGAGTTCAGTTCACATAGCAGTCTCTTAATTCGAGCAACAGTTTAATAACTATTATTTTTAACACTTGAATAATTCAAACTTATATATACGAACGAAAACTGCAAAACTTTACTTTTATATAAATAAAACATGTCAACTTTCGACTCAATTCTCAACATGCAGGATACGCTGTTACAGGACATCCTGAGACATTTTTCCTCCCTCCCCCTTCGGACAGCAAAAATTTCCTCCGTGGGGGGGGGGGGTATGGATCTTTTCTGGAACAACCCAATTTACTACAGTCACCAGAAATACAACATATATTAAAGCCCGCTGATCAATAAAAGTTGTTTTTTTAAATAAAAAATTTAAAAATCCTGAGTGGGGCCTTTTTTGTGGGCGGGCATGGATGCTAACCAACTATGCTAACTGAACAGACAACGGCAAAATCTTATCTATTTGTTAACTTGCAAATGCACCACATTACACTGTACTTTGGGCATTCCACACACATCATGCCATTGGTGTAGATGTCAGATGTGTGTTATAAAATTGGCATTATAAAAGTTTTGAAAATGTAGCGTAACAATATGGCCTGAATTCGTATGGCACAATATGGCGACTCCACTATGGCACATGTGTTGCAATATTCGATCATACAGTTGTTGAAGCATGTACTGTGTTTTTCATAATCGTGACCTTACCTTCGGTTACTTCGAGTAATTTCAAGCTCTCCTCAGCTTTCGATCGAACATGATGTTCTGGCGATAAAATATGCGTGAGACATTCAATCAAAGTTTCTCTAAGAGCTAAATTATTATAGCTCCCTTCGTCCGCCATCTTGTGCGAAATTTTGACAAAATGGCGGGAATTTTTAAAACCCCATTGCTGCGCATGACAGCGTTTCCGCTTTGCCTTTGCCTTTGAGGTTTTTTTGAGGATATAAAGTGAAGGCCCATTTTCTGGTTCTACCAGGCAAATTTGTTCGCACAAACAGTAAAAAAGCAGGAACTGATCCAATTTTTTTCGCTGACCAATCACATTCCCAAGATTTGTTTTTCGCTTCACGCGAACAAATTCGCCAAGTGGAAAATGGGCTTAGAAGAAGAAAAAAGAGAAAATGAAAATTGTGATATTCTCTCATTCTGATCTCTGCATTCTGATATTCTTCGTAAATATTCTGATATAATGATATTCGTTGATGTAATGCTGTCCCATGCGTCACTCATTTTTCAAGGCATTTTAAAATGCGTTTTCTCAAAATTTCTGAATTGAAACTTTATTTTATAATGCGACACGCGGAATAATATATATATATATATATATATATATATATATATATATATATATATATATATATATATATATATATATATATATATATATATATATATATATATATATATATATATATATATATATATATATATATATATATATATATAACATATATATATATATATATATATATATATATATATATATATATATATATATATATATATATATATATATATATATATATGTATATATATATATATATAATGTGGACTAACAAATTTCACGCATGGTAGCTAACTCTGTGACAGTGCATTTGCCAGTTACTGTATAACTGTATCACTATGGGTCGTTTTGCGATTTGCTTTTCTATTTTACAAGTTTTTCACAAATTAACGAATTTTGAAATTCTATTGTGGAAGCACCATGCATGTTTTTATACATTCCTTCGTAACTAGCATTTTATGGTAAATAGTTATTGAGAAATGTGCAGCGATTTATTGTATCAAACGTTTTTTAGTTGACATTACTCTGTTTGTAATAAGAAAATGTAAACTTGAAGTTGGTTAGCTTTGTTCAGTCTTTATCTTCGACATGGGAAACGGAGCGGCGGTCCCGTCCAATTCGCGCCAAATTGGGGCAGCTGAAAGTGATCATACAACGGCGCTGGTCACAGAAAGTCAAAACATCGGTGGTCTTGCTCGACTGGCAGAAGCAAAAAGTAAATTTATGAACACAAAAGGAAGACAAGAAGCGTTGAAGGCTTCGAAACAGGTAAACTGTATACAATATATGTGATATCAAGTTGTTTGAAATGTAATAATGTATCAATTATAAAGTCACAGCACACTATAGACTGATTTTTGGTTTCCATGTCAAGATAGTGTATTGCGAGGTGTATTGTAGATATAAAGGTCAGCCTTGTACCCCAGGCATCTTTGTGCACAGAAATAACGCTCTGAGCTTACGCACACAGCATGTTGGCGAGGGTCATTCGACTCATTCACATCCTCAAGCACCCTCACTCTAACACCACTGATCTGTATATGACAGGTAAGTGAGATTCCCCTTACGAATTTGTTATTTGTCTGTCATGCAAACCAACAAGCTTTGGCTATTTGTCCGTGAATTAACTTGATTGGTTCATTTACATGGCCAGTGATTGTTTCACACAGTAAAACCAGAACCTTGCCTGCACCTAACCTCTTCCCTAATCTCTAACCCTAATCTCTAACCCTAATCTCTAACCCTAACTAATCAAGTTACCTGCTCACAGGTCAATCCATGGAGCTAGCGTGCACAAGGCAGTTCCTTAACCACTTGGCTACCAAGTATTTGCTTGAAAATGATTGAGATTTACTGATTTACTTGATGTCATTTTACAGTAGCAAACTGACAGAATGAAGAAATGAACCAATCAAATTAATTCATGGGCAAATAGCCAAAGCTTGTTGGTCTCCATGACTGGACGAATAACCACTTCCTTCCTCTTGTTAATAACTAAGCATGATCCCTTTTAAACACCTGGGTACGAGGCTGTATTTAAGGTTGGCACCGGTACGCCAACAATGGATCAGTCAGAAGCACTGTATTGCTTCTTGAAATCCCTAAAATCCCAAAACTTCCGATTGAAATTCAAAAAATCCCTGTATGGTTTTTTCAGAGTAACACACCCCTCGGATCAATAATCAACACAGGGGCGGTACTAGACCTATTTTAATGGGCGTTGTAAGTGATAATTTGCTGAGTCATTTCCACTAATTAATATTTTTCCCCCAAGAGTTTTATCGCGCATTTTAGTTTTTTTCCATTCCTATCCAATTCATGTTTTGCTGACTGGAACACAATAATTTGCCGACTACCTGACGACTGTGGAGATGTTCCATCCCATCTAGCACCGCCCCTGCGTCAACAAGCTTTATAAATAATATTGTGATCACACAAGCCCATAGGGAATGTATTAGGAGTTAGGTGTAAGGTTACTGTAGGGGCTGGGGTTAGCAGGTAATTTTGTAATTAATTTAATAATTACTTGTTGCATGAACATAGATTTTGTAACTTGATACAAATAACATTTGAACAAAGTAATTTGTGTTACTTCTACAGTATGTGCTTCCTAATATCTTCCAACCTTACCATATCAGGAAATGTCAGAAGGAAATGGCACTGCATGGCATTGAATGTCTGTGGAGGCTTAACTGGTTATGCGACTGCACAAAAATTGCCCTGCTCATATTAAGTAACAAATAGAACACAGTTGAATTATATGACTTGTTTTGTATGTTGCTTAGGATGAAATTGTGTTACCAGTTACCAAAATATTTTGTATTATACATATATACTGTACTGTGTATCTCTGGTTATAAAATGCCCACATTTTTTTGTCAGATTAAAGGGACAAACTTCATCAAAGAATTATATCATAGACTTGACCCAAGTATTGCCTTGCCCAATGCTGTGGATATCACTGGAGAAATCCAGGTTGCTATGAAATACAACAGGGAAGAAAAACTTCTGCTTTTAAAATTGATTCAAGCAAGAGAGTTGGTACCAAGAGATGTCATTGGTTACTCAGATCCATATGCTGTTATTAAAATAGTTCCAGATAGGTAGGTACAAACACAAATATAAATTTCTACATACCATATTCATGGATCTAACCACCTGGAAAGACTACCTCATATTAGAGAAGTGACCACATTAATTAGAGAGGCAAATACTGTACATAGAGGTGACCACATTACACAGGTGAACACATTAGTGAGATAAACACAGAGAGATGAACACATTAGAGAGATGAACACATTAGAGAGGTGAACACACTAGAGAGATAAACACACTAGAGAGATGAACACATTAGAGAGGTGAACACATTAGAGAGATGAACACATTAGAGAGGTGAACACATTAGAGAGGTGAACACATTAGAGAGGTGAACACATTAGAGAGATGAACACATTAGAGAGATGAACACATTAGAGAGATGAACACATTAGAGAGATGAACATGTTAGAGAGATGAACATGTTAGAGAGATGAACACATTAGAGAGATGAACACATTAGAGAGGTGAACACATTAGAGAGATGAACACATTAGAGACGTGAACACATTAGAGAGATGAACACATTAGAGAGATGAACACATTAGAGAGATGAACATGTTAGAGAGATGAACACATTAGAGAGATAAACACAGAGACGCTAATGTGTTCATCTCTCTAATGTGTTCATCTCTCTAATTTGTTCATCTCTTTAATGTGTTCGTCTCTTTAATGTGTTCATCTCTTTAATGTGTTCACCTCTTTAATGTGTTCATCTCTCTAATGTGTTCGTCTTTCTGATGTGGATTCGCCTCTCTTATGTGGTCAACTCTCTAATTAATGTGTTCATCTCTCTAATGTGTTCATCTCTCGAATGTGTTCACCTCTCTAATGTGTTCACCTCACTAATGTGGCTTTGCCTCCAATGTGATCACATCTGTAATGTGTTCATGTCTCTAATGTGTTCACTTTTCTTATCTGGACACCTCTCTAATTAATGTGTTCATCTCTCTAATGTGTTCATCTAGCCTGCGTGCAGGCCCAAGGGAACTGGTAGTGGGCCTGCAACCATCACCCCATGTTTTCGATTTTCGCCGGCCGAACCACCGGCTAAAGTCCCATTGGCTAGCTGAGGCGATCGGTAATTAATTAACCTAGCGTGCAGGCCCAAGGGAACAGTGATTCATCACAAAGGCATAGACAAAGGCTCTCGATAAGCTTAAAATTTGAAAATTGATCACTTTTTTCGATTACAAAT